CAGAGCCGATAAGGGGGGGGGGGGGGGGACGCCAGGGGGCGGGGGGGGACGAAGTGCGCCCGCGCAAGCCATGACCGCTCCGCCGAGCCATTGGCGGAATCCAGAACTGAAGGGGCGGGTGCCAAAACCGGCCGGCCCGCCCCTAGGAGAAAAACCTACTCTTCTTTGTTGTCTAAATTCGGAGGAAAACGGGGCGTCGGAGAGCGGTGCCTGCTGCTTTTATGGCACTTCGGCGATCAGCCGTCCCGGTTTGCGCGGGGCAGGGAGGGGCACGGCACTTCCCGCTTCCCCAAACGCGTTTCCTACCCTAAACCTCCCTTTCTCAAAGCGCCACTGTGTTTCTCCCCAAATGGGTGGGGTGGGGGGCAACGGCGTGCCAATACGCAGCAGCAACGGGAGGCAAAGCAGCATCTCTCTCCCAGATCGGCGGGGTGGGACAAGCCGGGGTTGCGCGTTGAAAGTCGGGGTGTGTGTGTGTGTGTGAGGCGAGCCAGGTGTCAAAGCTGCGGCGTGCGGGGAAAGGTGACAAGCGCTACCCACCCACCCACTGCTTTGCAAGGCTGGAAAGGGGAAAGGGAGCTGTAGGCGCTGGGACCCTCCACACCTCTCGATTACGCGCTTTAGGACCGCTCCCCTGACCCCCGGGGCGCGGGGGTTGGGGAACGTGTGGGCGGAGGAGAGAATGGGTAAGATCGCGTACCCTGCGCGTCTTCTTCGGCCCCGGGGAGAATTGGTCAAGGGTTCCAGGGGCAGAGGGGCGTGGTGTCCTTCTGAAGCAGACACGCCTTCTTCCTTTTCATTCTTTCATCCGTTCTTTTGTAAACACACACACAACACACACTTCGGCTGCAGTGCCATAAAAAGCACCAGGCTGGGCACGGAAGCACGCGCGTCTGTTGTCCGTCTGTCTCTGTGTCATTTCTCACCTCCGCTGCACGCGTAACGCACGGATCGTCAAAAAGGATCCCGAGAGGCGCTTGGCCAGGCGCTAACCTTCTTGGTTGGGCGAAGGGAGCCTACCTAAAACCCACCCACCCACAATTTACACAGCGACCGCACAGGCGCACGCCATTCTTCCGCAAACAGCAGCAGCAGCAGCAGCATCACCAGTGGGCGAAGATGCCACCAGGGAAGGACAAAGAGGGAAGGGAAAGGTCCCATGGCCACTGGAAGAAGCAGCCGCAGTTGGCCATCATTGGGAAAGGTTTCCTTCGTGGCATCTAACCGCCATCCTCGCATCTGAGTCCGAAAGGCGCTGGCTTGCCCCCTCCCCTCCTCCCGCCCGGCTTGCTATTCCCCCCCTCCCCCCGGTCCCTCTCTTCTCACTGCCCTAACTTTGGACATGCGTGCTTTGCGCATCGCATCTCGTGCAGTTTGGAAAGGGTTACGCACGGGGGCTGGGAGGATGGCGCGCTCCTTTCCCATTCAAG